GGAAGGAAGGAAGGAAGGGTGGAAGGAAGGAAGATCTCATGTGTGAAAAACAATGATATGGAGAAAAGGAAGAGAAAGGAAGGGGGAGGGAGGGAAGGAAATAATGGAGAGAGGGAGGAAGGAAAGAAGGAAGTGAAGGAAGGAAGAAATAATGTGAAAAGCAATTATAAAGAGAAAAGTAAGGGAAAGGAGAAGGGCAGGCAGAAAAAGAAGTAAGGAAGGGAAGAGGGATGTAGGAATGAAGGAAGGAGACGGAGGGAGGGAAGAAGGGAAGGAAGGAAAGAAGGAATCATGGGAAAAGCAGTTATAAGGAAAAAAGGAAGGGGAGGGAGAAAAGGAAGGAAAGGAAAAGAAAGGAAAGGAAAGGGAGGAAGGTCATGTGTAAAAAACAATTATATAGAGAAAAGGAAAAGAAAGGAAGGGGAGGGAAGGATGAAAGGGAAAGAAGGGAGGAAGAGAGGAAGGAATGGAGAGGGAGGAAGGAAGCAAGAGAAGGATGGAGGAAGGAAGGAAGGAAGGAAGAAATAATGTGAAAAACAAGGAGAAAAGGAAGGAGAGGGAGAGAAGGAAGGAAGGAAGGAAGGAAGGAAGGAAGGAAGGAAGGTCGATCAAGGGAAGAGAAATGCTTTGTCCAATAGTGTCGAGGGAGACCATACTTGTTTGTGCTGGAAATCTGTTGCCAAGGTGGAGACCCCAAAGTGGGGATCGTCCCCCCACCAGAGCGAAGATCATGTTTCCCATAAATCCCTGTGGATGTCAGGGTTCTCTTCCCTGCAGCCCAAGCCCTTCAGGTCACCCCCCAAGTCACCCCATAAAACTCAAAATTGCAAGCCCTCTTTCCCCCGCCCCCCCATCCAGCCCCCACCCCAATTCCATGGCCTGATATTTTTTATCCCTTTCTTTCTTTCTCTCTCCTTCCTCCCCAGAGTGGGAAACTCGACCGGCACGGCAGCGGCACGGACAGCGACTACGACAACACGCAGGGGGGCGACCTGCCCCTTAGGTGAGCCAGCTCTCACCTGTCCTGGGGGGGGGGGCTCTGTAGACCCTCTGCCTGGGGGCGGGGAGAGAGATCTGACCTTAGCTTCGGGCATTATTAGATTTAAGATGGAATTTACTGAATAATAAAATAAAAGCATGTGATCAATTTGCAAACGTGACAGATAAAAGCACAAAGGTATGATGAATTTAGAATTATAAATTGAAAATGGACAGAATACACTTATCATTACCTAAATCATTATCTAAATCATTACTTCCGTTTTCAATAAATTTTCTCCATTATTCTTATTTTCTTTACACTTAAATAAGAATAATGGAGAAAATTTATTGAAAACGGAAGTAATGATTTGATATTGTTCTGACCCCACACCCTTTCCCAACAAATCAAACGCAATCCAAAGGGAACAGAAACCTTTTAACGCTTCTGCAAAATAACTAGCTGTGATAAGCACCAGCCTTGCCAAATTTGTGCGAGACTTGCCAAAAAGACAACAGACAAGAAACAATCGGCAAAATAAAAATCTTCAAACACAAACTCAGGATACCGGAATGTCCATGAGGCTGGAGTTTCAAAACGTCTTTGCCTTCTGCAAAGAAGGTTTGTTTTCACAGCTGGCTTTTATCTTCTTGAAGGAGGAACCAGTACCTTGCAGCCTTATTCCCGAGTCGCCCGTGCTGTTGTAGCTGCTCTTTCCTGCGAGCAATCCTGCGCTCACATACAGTTAGCACAGGCTCCTCGGGAACCTCCTCATCGCCGCTGCCAACCCCCACCATCTCTGAAGGCAGCAGTCCACTCCCTGATGGTCCTGGCCCCTCATCTGAGTCCTCGCTCTCCTCAGCCGTCCGCACCTGCGGCCAGCTAACCACAACAGATACAGAATTGAACGTGAAAGATAAATATCTACTAAGGCCCTGTTTGCACTGAAGTGTAAAAACCTGGAACCACGTTGTTCACGGAAAGAGATGTTTTTAAAATATCAAAAAATTATTGTTGAGCAAACTTCTTAAACGCCCATTTCCCTTTGTAAAAGGGTCTCTTGGCAGTTTGCAGTTAAAAATCGCCGTAATAAAATAGTAAAAACCCCAATATAGCTAGTCCTCAACTGTCCAAACGGTGTAGGTAGGGTTTCCTGCCTCAGCCGGGGTGAGGGGTTGGTCTAGAAGACCTCCAAGGTCCCTTCCAACTGTTATTCTATTCTATTCTATTTATGCATGGACTTCCACTCCCAAAAGTCTTTGCAGTCACCATGCAGGCTAAGGGATTCTAGAAGTTGAAGTTCACACATCTTAAGAGTTACCAAGTCAAGAATCTAAATCGTTCTTAAGCGTGAACTTCCAACTCCCAGAATCTTTTGCAATAATGATGCTGGCAGGGGAATTTTGGGAGTCTACGATACAAATTTGCAACAGCCCTGAAAAAAAAAATGACTTAGGACCGTTTTTCACACTTAATGACCGTTGCAGCCTCCCCATGGCTGTCACGGAATGAAAATTCAGACCCTTGGCAAGTGATTTATA